ACCATATAATATGAAGTCAAACCTAAACAACACTTTCAATTGTATCCAATTTGGCAGGCCCTTGAGCTACATAGCTGAAGGTAAATTGAAAGGAAATTGGACAGTGTATGGCTAGCCTAGGCATGTTGGTCTGTTATTGGTTAACAACAGTTCTGTTTGATACTGAAGCTCCATCTTTATGAGGTAATGTCACCCCTTTGTGGGTGGACAGTGGTTGGTAAACTGTTATGTGATTGGCATAAGAGATTGCTGCTTGAGTCTTAGTGACTAAGCCCATTGGTCTGTTAATGGTAACAGTGGCTCTGTTTGGTATTTAATGGGTTAAAGTTCATTTCATAATTAAAACTGATTTAAAACCAATAAAGGGGCCATGGCCTAAACTTTTCCACAATGCTTGTGTGTTTATTTTATTATTTAGGTATGTTATTATGATAATGGAGTGTACAATCCTATGGCCTCTACAGATTCAGCAATGCCTGTAAATGGAAAGCAACTGAGCATGTACAGCGCAATGTGAGACAATTATGAACAGTATATTTTACATACAGCCTATTCTTAATGTTTTACATACCTACAGTTGTGCTCAAACGTTTGCATACCCTGGCAGAAATTGTGAAATTTGTGACATTGATATTAAAAATATGACTGATCATGCCAAAAAAATGCTCTTTTATTGAAGGATGATGATCATATAAAGCCATTTATTATCAAATAGTTGTTTGGCTCCTTTTTAAATCATGATAGCAGAAATCACCCAAATGGCGATGATCAAAAGTTTACATATCCTGGAATGTTTGGCCTTGGTACAGACACACAAGGTGACACACACGGGTTAAAATGCCAATTAGAGGTTATTGTCTCCCATGTGTGGCTTTTTAAATTGCAATTAGTGTCAGAGTATAAATAGTTAATGAGTTTGTTAGCTCTTACGTGAAGGCACTGACTAGGCAAGATACTGAGCCATGGGGATCAACAAAGAACTGTCAAAAGTCCTGCGTAATAAGGTAATGGAAATTTATAAAGATGGAAAAGGACATAACAAGACCTAAAGAGAAATGGCGCAACATTTTGTGTCTGATGAAAGTAAAAAAAAGTGTGTTCTTTTTGGGTCTAGTGGCCAGAGACAGTATGTCAGACAACCCCCAAACACAGAATTCAAGCTGCAGTACACTGTGAAGACAGTGAAGCATGGTTGCACAAGCAATCGAATAGAATGTGTAGTGTTGCCAATGCATTTGTGTGTATGGAAATAAAAGCTATTAGAAGTATTTTAAGCTTTATTCACTTTTTTCAACACACTGCTATTATTTTGAACACAACTGTATATATGATTTTGCAGTTCTGGGTAGGGGGTGCACGCGTGCGCCCTACCCACGCTGCCATTCACAGCCTCGGCTGTCAATCACCGGGTCCTGGCCGGTGATTTCTCGCTGGCACACAGTGATCGCCAAGCATCTCTGACGAGGGAGAGATCTGTGTATAAACAACACAGATCTCACCCGTCAGCTCCTGCACACTGCTTTGTATGGCTCTACATAGAAGATTGCTTAGAGTGAAACACAGCCCAGAGCCTCATAGTAAAACAGCACACAGTTAACCCCTTCCTGCCCAGTACCATTAGTAGTGTCAGTGCTTTTTATTAGCACTGATCACTGTATTGGTGTCACTGGGGATGTCAGTGACAAGTCAGTTCCCCTCAGTGTCAGAATGCCCGCTGCAGTCCTGCTATAAGTCGTTGATCACCACCATTACTACTAGAAAAAAAAAAATTCCAGTATATTTACCATTTATTAACGCTGTTACTTTCACATAAACCAATTAATTTACACGTATTGGGATATTTTTTTCTAGCAAAGACATGTCGCCGAATACATTTTGGCCTAAATTTATGATGAAATTTGATTTAAAAATATTTTACTGGACATGTTTAATAGCAAAAAGTAAAAATGTTTTTTTTTCCTCAAAATTGTTGGTCTTTTTTTGTTTATAGCGCAAAAATTAAAACCGCACAGGCGATCAAATACCACTGAAAGAAAGCTCTATTTGTGGGGAAAAAAAGGACATACATTTAATTTGGGTGCAGCATTGCACAACCGTGCAATTGTCAGTTACAGTACAGCAGCGCCGTATTGCAAAAAATGGCTTGATCAGGAGGGGGGGGGGGGGGGTAAATCCTCTGGAGGGCAAGGGGTTAATGCACTTCATCAATACTTGGGATTATCATGTGCTCGCAGTATACTCTGGGGTGTGCCTTTTTCAGGAGATGGGTGTAGCCCTTCCTTTTTCTATTGGTCCCCACCCATGATGTCGTGGGGAGACCTACACTGTTGCTCTCCATCTATACATATAGGTGAGGGGTGCCCCTGGGTTAGTTATGATATAATCCTTGCAAAAATCTTAATTTTTTATGTTTCTATAGTCACCAGACCCTCTTAGCTCCTGAGGAAGCAGAACACTCTGGTCAAACACATTGAGCAACATTTAACCTATAAAAGTGATTGTTCTAGGCACTTATGTATCATTGAAGGCCTCATCCAAGCAGATGATAGAGCATAGTCTATTTTGAAGGTTGCTGTTCTCTGTATTAGAATTTTTACATACATGGTTTTATGTGCAAACTATGTGAAAAAAAAATTAAAGAAAATAGTTGTGATGCCTTAGAAGGTGGGAAGGTGCTTCCTCTATCCTGAATGTCAGGAAATAGAGCAGGGAGTGCACAACACTCCACCTAGTAAGTGAAATAATCCCTCACAGTTAACCCATTCTACTATGAACCAGAAAGCAAGAATAGTAAATGGCACCCAATGGTTCCAGTAAAAGGAAAATCCTGGTGCTTAGCACACACTGCTTGCTCAAGTGGGTCTTTAGAAATAGGGTCACATCTTGCTCCATAGTGAACTATACAGCACCCTCAGGTATTATAAGTGCCAAATGCAGAATCCAGTGCCCAAATGTCACATTCCAGGATAACCCCACACTTGTCCGTCAAGGTTCATATACAGCCTTCAAAGCTAGTGCTGAGGAACTGCCAATCTGTATAGTTCCATAGACAGCAGCTTCTCAAGAAATCTTGAGGAAAAAAAACAAAACAAAAAAAACACAAGTTAGATATTTCCCAGCAGAATAGAGAAAAGTTGTCCATCTTCCAAGGAAACTAGCAAAAAAAAAAAAACAAAACAAAAACCACAAACATGGTAGGCAGTGAGAGAGGGTATATATACCACATGGGTCACTGTCTATCTCCTCTTGTAGGAAGATGAACACTAAAAAAGACAAATGTATTATCGGCTTATTTCTGTAAGTAAAACAAATGTGGAGTGATGAGAGTGGTGTTGCCAGGTATTACTGGGTGTCTTTTTAAAGCCCTGTTTTTTTTGGCCTATGACTGTATCTTGACTCAATTCTAAGGGGGTGGAGGAGTAAAGAAGAAAATCATGTCATCTCTTTTTACTTTCTTCTTTTTGCTGAACACAAGAAACAGCTTTTTAAGTTATTCTACCTGCCCCATAACATTTCAGTCTAGAGATGCCCAAATGGTGCTCATGTGGTTTTTTTTATTTTTTTCTTTAGGTTCATAGGGAACACCCTGGCTGTGAATCATTATGTGTCATTAGCAACTAGTCGGTGTTGATTGTGGACTATGTTCTATGCATTCAGGAAAAGATTGACAATCTCCCACCAAAAAAAACTGTGCTTTAATCCTTCATGCCCTTTTTTGTGTCTTTTTTTTTTGTTTTAAGAGCTGAAGAGCAGTGATCGAAATGGATTTGAAAAGACTTTTATTGCCATGTTTGCATGCATTGCTTTTAATTCTCTATATATGTCAATGAGAATACTATGTTAATGCAAAGTAAACACCAAGCCTCACTAATGCATCTCATATACAAACTATATTTTTCTGAAAGCATTTGATTCACTTCTGATGGTATATACAAACCCTAATTTCTAAAATGTTTCACATATTGTACTGTAAGGGGACAAACTGAGGGCATATTATTTATAACATAGGGTTCTATTTATAAATGTTTTTCCACCAAATTAAAGCGGAACTATCATATTTACTTGTTTTAGCCTTTTTTTTTTGCATGCCTTAATTTACTTCCTGGTTTCCATGCCTAGGCAAATGATGTTACAGATCCCAGGAGTCTTCATGAGGGGAGGGAGGGCTCTCAGCTCAGCCAATGCCTGAGCTAAGGACAAATGGATTCCAGGAAGTAACTGCTACATGAATCATCTGCCCTTACTCAAGATGGCCACTGCCAGAAACGCCAGGAGGTACTTTTCAGAATGAAATCTCAGAAGAATAAAGCATAGAGTCATGGATGGAAGTTTGTTCCGAAGATTAAAAATGAGTTATATGGCATTTTTGGTTTGTGGTACTTAGATGCAGTGCAGTTCCACTTTAATACATTTTACTGTTGGGATTCAATTGAAAAAAAAAAAATGTGTAAGTATTTGCTGAATATTGTGTGCATCTTGTATTAAAAACATGACAAAAATGGACCTCTTGATGCTTTATGAACTAGAGAATCGAAGCTCATTTGTTGTTTTCTATATTAAAAAAAAAAAAAAAGTATCCTCTGTATTGCTGTAAACACATAACTCTACTATGTACTGTTGAGACGGTAAAAAAAATGTTTTGGAGCAAAAGCACATGGCTCCATAATTACATCAGACGCTCTAATTAATATATACATCTTTGTGTGGCTGAGCACGCTGACCATTTCCTTTTATATAAAAAAAACAAACAAAAAAAAAAAAAACACCCAACTGTACAAATGTTTTCCTGCAAAGATGAATAAAACATTCAAGTAAACGTACAGATAATTGTTTGTGAGTGATCTGCATGGATATGGCCACTCTTAGATTAGAGGCCATGGCTCTATACCTACTTTTTGCCAATAAATTCTCAGATATGTCAAGTACAAAAGCAGATTCACAAGCTTTATTGAGCTAAAAGTTAAATGGTACAAAATGTACAAGTTCGTCCATCTTGGGTCCTATGTTACAATCTGCAGACATTCGCTTCCGTTTTTAGGTATTGTCTGGCTTTCTTGGGTACCTGCTGGAAAAATATAACAAGTTTGTAATTCCCATTATCGTATAACACTGCACATTCCCTGTAAATAGGTAAATATATAACCATCTCATGGATTATATTCCCTCCCGCCTCCCACCCCACAACAAAACCCCAAAATCAATATAAAAAAAGAAAACAAACCTGTTGTCAGATCCACCACCATCTCTTGTGTGTCCACATATGGGGTAGCGATTCCCATTGCCTTCCGGATTCCAGAAACACTGACAATGTCTCCTGGGTGCACTTGCTGGGTCAGTTCCTTTAGGTTCTCATTCACTTTGTCCGCTTAAAAAAAAAAACAAACACACACATGGTTTTACTACAATTGTAATTCTCTTTAATTCAAGATCTGTGAGCTCAAAGTAATTCAGATAAAAGAAAGCATTACAGACCATTCTGTCAACAACTGGATTTTACATATGAAGATTTATTATTTGTCAGCTGTCTTCACTGCTAAAAATTATTTCAAGAAACTGATTTAGACTGCTACTGACAGACATTGTTCCAAAAGAAATTAAAAAAAGCAGGCCCAGGAGACAGGTATGTTCATTGCCTGTATTGGGATGAAATTAGTGGTTTTTAATGTCTTCTGCACTAGGCAGACATTAAAAACCGGTATGATTCTTTCCGATTTTTGGTGCTGAAAGCGGTACCATTATTTTGCATGGAAATATGTAGTTTTTTTATTGTAGGCTGTAATTTTTAGGAATAACTCACTGAAATCTGTCTGAACAAGATTCTAAATCATACATTTAATTCAATAATATAATCAAACCAAAAACACTGAAATTTGAAATATAGCGCCAAGTTCGCACATCGCTGAGCAAAGTCGCAAAATTGTTTTCAGTGTGATGACGAATTTCTCCACGAATCATTATCACTCAATTATGCAAGTGGTTCTAATTTACTATCGCTGTTCTCTAGCTGATCTAAACCCGCTTTTGACCTAAAGGGACACTTTTTGGACGCCATGGACTTTTCTACGTTTCCAGGCAGAAAGAACAATCAAAATGCAGACAGGGGACAGGACAAAGCACTAGGGACAAAATGTATGTGAAATGGGTTGAAACAGCAATGTTTTACTATGTAGAATCGTTTTGAAAAAAAAAGACATTTTTTTGAAATTTTCAAATTTCCCGCCGCCGCCGGCGCCCGTGCGTCCCGACGTCACAGGGACCGGAACACAGGAGCCGGATGCCGGCATCAGACGGAGGAGATGGCCGGGGACGCTGCAGGGGACACATCGCGGGAGCCAAGGACAAGGTAAGTGCTGCAGGGACTCCCTATACAGCGCTGCATGGTAAGCCCGAGTGTAGCTCGGGGTTACCGCTTTTGGTATAGACATTTTACCCCGAGCTACACTCGGGAATACCGTTAGGGAGGTTAAACAAAGAAAATTAAAGGTTCTCAGCCTAAATTTTCCCAGCTCCCTAACCCATTTGTAACAAAGCTGGTCTACCACAGTTTTTAATCGTTAAAGTGTTACTAAACTCAAGACCCTGCATTCACTATATTCACAGTACATGGAAATGAAATTATTTTAGTAAATACAAACTGCTAAATATCTTTTCTCATCAGCACTATATAGCAGTCTTGTGACTTCTATCAGTGTCCGGCTGAGCACTGGTTAAAGCTTGTAGAAGACGTTTTCATTCTCCTCTGACTGTCCTATGAGGCTGCATGACCCTTGACCCCTCTGTATGGACAGTGCTGGTTGGTCCTGTGCTGATCACATGCACCCTCCCAAACACAAAAAGAGAAACCCCAGATATGTACCCAAAAAAATAATCATCAAACTCTTCTGAGTACAAGGATATCACGTAATTATGACAGATTACATAACCGAGCAAAATGCTTTGTAATTTCGCAACGTTTAAAAAGTACAAGTACAAGGGCGCTCGTGAGCAGTGACCTAAGTTGGCCGCACAGTAGGCGTGCTCCTCTCCCACGGGGGTAAGCTGCTCACCTGCTACCTTCCCCCGAATCACTGCCGCCTACCTAACGGGGGCCGCCCACGCTTCCAGCGCTCAGCAGACCATGCCAAAGCCTGCGGCCTCCATGCCGGCGGTTCCCCCTGAAGCCCTGGCCTCTATTTCGGACCCGCCACCGCCACTACCTGCAGATGAACCGGATCCCTCCTACAACTGACACTGCATCAGAGACACCCCTGCAGCTCCCCACAGTGGCTCTTTGGGATGCTCAGCTCCTGGGTTGCTTTAATTCCATGCTGCAGACAGAATTATCTTCCGTTACTTCCAGGCTGGCAAAGCATCTCTCCAGAGAAATTAGGGAGCTGGGCAATCATATGAACGATCTTGAGGATAAAATGGATGCTGCAGTCTCAGTTATTGAAAATCATGAGCAGGATCTGAGCAACCTTAAGAAAGAATTGGCGGACATGCTGCTCCGGCCTGAAGATGTTGAGAACGGTTCCTGTCTTGGCAACTTACACCAGCGAGGTATTCCAGAAACTGTTACGGATCTCACCTCAACCGCCACCGCCCTGAACCAGGAGCTGGCCCCCACCGGTCCCATCGACCGACTCGAGTTGGAATGCATACATCGAACATTGGGTCCCTGAGAGTCGGAAGGGCCCCCAAGAGACATTATCATTAAGTTCACGTATTATCGCACTAAGGAAACTATTCTCTTGGCGGTCAGGAATAACCCAGACCTCAGTTTCCAGGGGCATCGCTACCAGCTTTTCTCAGATTTTTCCCAGATCACTCTTCAGAAACAAACATCGCCAGTTGAAGCCCTTCACTTCAGTCCTGGTGAATTGCAGAATTAAATAAGCATGGGGCTTTCCATTCCTCCTCACCTTCGACTACCAAGGCCGTAGCCACTCCGTTGCCACACCGGAGGAAGCTCATTCGCTTCTGGAATCATTACACCTTATTCTGCCAGGAGGCACTGCGCAGAGTCCGGCACATTCATCTGGATCTCGGGCGGGGCTGCCTCCACTGGGTTGCCTCTGGGAAAAGACATCCAGCCGGAAGATACCTTCTCATGACTTAGTGCAGGAGGAACGCATGCGCTCGCTCCTGCGGTCTACGGGACTGGTGAACATCTGGCGGGAACACCCTACTGAGCGTGACTTTACATTCTATTCCAACTCTCGACAGTTGCTGCAGAATTGACCATGCATTTATGCAGCTGCAACGGCTTTCTTTAGTCAGGCAGATATCTATCCCTTCCTCGCCCTGGTTGGATCATGATCCCCTGGTCCTACTTCTTGCACTCTTGGGTATGGCACGGCGCTCTTTTCATTGGTGTATTAATGAGTCTACTGACCACTCAGGTCACCTGTCAGCAAACTGAATCTTCCATACGCACATATCTGTCTCTTCAGCAATGCCCCTGCGGGAGGCACATGAAGCTACGGTGCAGGGCCACATTATACAGCTGGCTGCGGCTCGGAAATGGGAGCGTGACCTTTTGGGACTTCACTCTCTTCTGGCCTCGGCGGATGTTTGTTGAAAGTCGCACCCGTCTGTGGCCCATAAACGAAAGAGAGACGCTCTGGCTGCAGAACTGGACTTACTTGCTTCTTCAGAGGCTGAATGGGCCTTACGTTGGATCAAACATACGTTTTATACCTGTGCTAATAATGCGGGTCCGATGTTGTCTAGGAAACTCAACTCTGTGGGGAATAAGGCCTGGTCGTTCATAGCGAAATGTTCATTCAGCACAAACACGCTGGAGGCGGCATACAAAGTACTGTTCCGTTGGTACTGGGTCCCGGCTCGTATAGCCCAGGCGAACTCTACCTATAGTGATCGCTGCTTTCGATGTTGTGGCCATCGTGGAAATGTGGTGGAAATGTGGTGGAAATGTGGGCGTCACAGTGGCTTAGTGGTTAGCACATCCGCCTGGCAATGCTAGGGTCGTTGGTTCGAATCCCAAACACGTCACCACCTGCCTGGAGTTTGCATGTTCTCCCTGTGCCTGCGTGGGTTTCCTCCGGGTACTCTGGTTTCCTCCCACACTCCAAAGACATGCAGGTAGGTTAATTGGATCCTGTCTAAATTGTCCATAGTATGTGTATGTATGAATGTGTGTTAGGGACCTTAGATTGTACACCCCTTGAGGGTTAGGGACTGATGTGAATGTACAAAATATATATGTAAAAGCCCTGCGTGAATTGACGGCGCTATATAAGTACCTGAAATAAATAAAATGTGTTACATATATGGTAGTCACTGCCCGTGACCGATTCGGTTTTGGTCTTGTGTATTTGGCCTTCTTTACACCTCGTTCCATCTCTCCATATGCTGGGAAGCCCGTTATGCTTTGCTTCATTGCCCCATACCACGTTTGTTGGCTCCTATCTGTTCTTGTCGGCAGCTAGAACAATTGCTCAAGCCTGGAAGAGTACATCTGTCCCTCTTCATTAAGCATCAGAGTGGTCATCCGGTCCTGAACAGATGTCGAGTATCTGTAATGACTCCCAATGCAAAGTTTTGAAAATCTGGGAGCCGTGGTTGACATGCTTTTCTCACGTTCCCCCGCCTAGTCTAGGTTCAGGTTGTTGATCGGTATTGGAGTTCCCGGATCCCTGCTGTTGGTCTTGTCTTCTTATTTCCTTACTCTTTTTCCCATTGTCTTTGATTTTTGTGAGGTGGTAGATATCTGCCTTTGCTTTGTTTTACTGTTGGTGTTATAACACTGTATTTTTGTATTTTCTGTGCCATTGATAGCATGGGCGTGCCTTTTGCACTACTGGTGCTACAGCATTCTCTCTTTTGAGTTTTATGTGCCATTGATAGCCCCTGCGTTGGCGTGCCTGTTACTTCAGTCTTTCTTTGTCTAAGACGTTTAAAATTACTAATAAAAACTATTGAAATACAAAAGTACAAGTTCATTTGTACTACAAAGTGCTGCTTCAAATTAACACAAGATGTCTTCGCTCAAAGACTAAGGCCTGTTGAATACACAAATTAAAAAACCACCACTATATTACTGATCTGGATGCATTATTGTCTATAGAACAATGCATACAGCTGCATTAATACCAGTAATACAGCAATGAGTACAGAGATGTAAAACAAAAATAGAACATTTTATATTTAAGTAAACTCATTTACGCACATGTGTGTTTATGTAAACGCATGTACAGTTGTGTTCAAAATAATAGCAATCAGACATCACTAACCTGATCAATCACTGTTTTTGGTAGAAATGATATTTCTACATGGCAAATAATTTACTAGCAGGTGTAGTAGAGTGATAGAAATCCAACAGACCCAACAGTCATGACATGCATGCTGCTGATTCTGTGTAATTGAATCACTAATTGAAAGGGGCATGTTCAAAATAATAGCAGTGTGGAGTTCTATTAGTGAGGTCATTCATTCTTTGAAAAACAGGTGGCAATTATTGCCCTTATTTAGGGAAAGAAGGCAGCAAATGTTGTACATGCTGGTTACAGTGCATTTCTCTCTGAAATTCTGAGGAAAATGGGTCGTTCCAGACATTGTTCAGAAGAACAGCGTACCTTGATTAAAAAGTTGATTGGAGAGGGGAAAACATATAAAGAAGTGCAGAAAATGATAGGCTGCTCAGCTAAAATGATCGCAAATGCTTTAAAATGGCAACCAAAACCTGAAAGACGTGGAAGAAAGCAAAAAACTACCATTCGAATGGATAGAATAGCCAAAATGGCAAGGACTCAGCCAACAATCAGCTCCAGGAAGATCAAAGAAGGTCTAAAGTTACCTGTAAGTACTGTTACAATTAGAAGACGCCTATGTGAAGCCAAGCTAACTACAAGAAGCCCCCGCAAAGTCCCACTGTTGAAAAAAAAAAAAAGACATGTGCTGAAGAGGTTACAATTTGCCAAAGAGCACATTGACTGGCCTAAAGAGAAATGGCGCAACATTTTGTGGACTGATGAAAGTAAGATTGTTCTTTTTGGGTCTAGTGGCCGGAGACAGTTTGTCAGACGACCCCCAAACACTGAATTCAAGCCACAGTACACTGTGAAGACAGTGAAGCATGGTTGCGCAAGCATCATGATATGGGGATGTTTCTCATACTACGGTGTTGGGCCTATTTATCACATACCAGGGATCATGGATCAGTTTGAATACATCAGAATATTTGAAGAGGTCATGCTGCATTATGCTGAAGAGGAAATGCCCTTGAAATGGGTGTTCCAACAAGACAACGACCCCAAACACACCAGTAAACGTGCAACATCTTGGTTCCAGACCAACAAGATTGACGTTATGGAGTGGCCACCCCAATCCCCGAATCTTAATCCAATAGAAAACTTGTGGGGCGACATCAAAAATGCAGTTTCTGAGGCAAAACCAAGAAATATAGAAGAACTGTGGAATTTAGTCCAATCATCCTGGGCTGGAATACCTGTTCACAGGTGCCAGAAGTTGGTTGACTCCATGCAACACAGATGTACAGCAGTTCTCAGAAACATTGCTTATACAACTAAATATTAATTAAGTGATTCAAAGGAAAGCAAAATCTTCAAACATTTTTCAGTTTATATAGTGAATGTTTGAGTTTGTAAAGAAGAATACAAAAACACTGCTATTTTTTTTGAACAGTCTAATATTCACTTTTCTTCACTTTTTTTAGAGGAACAACACAAATTTGATCTATTTTTCTTCATGTTTTGATTTGGAATAGAATGTGTAGTGTTCTCAATGCATTTGTGTGTATGGAAATAAAAGCTATTAGAAGGATTTTGAGCTTTATTCACTTTTTTCAAACACACTGCTATTATTTTGAACACAACTGTATATATGCAACACTGGCAATGGAGAAAAATGTTACCCTCACGAATTGGTGCTTACACAAGGTCTTTACAGAACATGGTACTCTGGATCTATCAACAAGATCCTGAGTATAAACATCAGTAAATTATTACATCTGTGTGCAACTGATGCCTTGTTTACAAAAATATATGGGTTGAATTTTCAGATCATATATCATTTTTGAAAAGTTGTAGTGCTTTCAAACTTTGTGTTTGATGTATAGAAAAAAAATGTCCTGTAGTTCATTGTATTAATGCGTTTCTAAAGGGGATTTTGTAATGTCCAATTAAGACCTGACAAGATTAACATTAGAAGAAATGCAATTTGTTTAATATGAAGTATGTGTAGGGACAACCTGCCTTTAGGTGGCTAAAGAATGTATTAGTATACATTTTTTTTAACATAATAAAATAAATGGCAAATATATTTTTGCACAATTCATAATTTTTCTTAAATGAAGTAATAGATTTTCAATGCATAAACAGTTTTGATTAAACTTACCAATCTGAACTTCCTTTACAGATGGAGCTAACAGGCAAACCATATTAGGAGGAGGCTTTGTGCTTAGGCGCTCATTCTGCACCTCTTGTAACTCCCAGAGTAATCTAGTGGTTTCATCCAACTTCCTCTGGAACTTCTCTGCTTCTGGAATTATATTGTGTTAGTACAGAATTTGCAGACACTGAATATAAATTTCAGTTCCCCAGCCATTACTACACTAATAACTTGAGTCCCAGTGAATTTTTTAGTGATGTCTCAGTTCCACACATTATATCTATATTATACATATACCTTTTGTAGGACTGATAGAACTTTAAATTGTCGAAAAGGGTAGGTCTTTAAGTGGTTAATATATAATTTTATTCCCAAGAAAAAAAACAAGGAAAAGCAAAACAAAAAAAAGCATTGCTTGCATATGCCATAAACCAGTTTCTGGCCTCCTAGATCAGGTGACTAGAGACGATCTGGCCTCTCTATGGCTAGCCGCACAAACCACCGGATTGGATCCCGGGCATCCCGATGAGATTGGTAAATCTGGGAAACACTGATGAGCAGCGTGGGGGAATGGGTGCACCCCTCTGTTTCTAAAAGCTATCCATCGGCTAATCAGCCTCTTGGATCACTTTTAGGAAACAGAGCTTCGCTGGCTGATAATTTTTATACCGGGGTTATGGCTGAGAGATGCAGCCATAGCCACGGTAAACAACACACCATTAACCACTTGCCCTCCTGAGGATTTACCCCCCCTTCCAAACCAGGCCATTTTTTGCATTACGGAGCTGCGTTACTTTGACAATTGACAGCAAGCAATTCATGCCTAAACCCCAGCCAGGACCTGCATATGCCCTGTGCCGTTTTAGAACAGCGATGAGACAAATAGTCACTCTGCCAATGCCATTTTAAAATGGTGGTTAACCTTTTAACTACTTGCCCTCCAGAGGATTTACCCCCCTTCCTGACCAGGCCTCTTTTTGCTACTCGGCGCTGCACTAATTCAACTGATAATTGCGCGGTCAAGCAATGCTACACCCAAATTAAATTTACGTCCTGTTTTTCACACAAATAGAGATTTTTTTCGGTGGTATTTGATCACCTGTGCGCGTTTTATTTTTCTCGCTATAAACAAAAAAACCCTGAAAATTTTGAAGAAAAATGATATTTTTTACTTTCAGCTATAAAAAAATATATAGTAAACTCAAAGTTAGTTATAAATTTAGGCCAACATGTATTCTGCTACATGTTTTTGGTCAAAAAAATCCCAATAAGTGTATATTGATTGCTTTGTGTGAAAGTTATAGCGTCTACAAATTATGGTATAGATAATTTGAAATTTACACAGCTTTTACTTTCTGACTGCTCATCTCTCATTTCTTGAGGTGCTAAAATACCAGGATAGTACAAACACCCTCAAATGACCCCTCTTCGTAAAGTAGACACCCTAAGCTATCTTCCGAGAGGCATATTGAGTCCATGGAAGATTTAAGTTTCTGGAAAATGACAAAAACATTTTTTTTCCCACAAAGTTGTCATTTAAATTATTTATTTCTCGCACAAGCCATGGGTATATGTGGAATTACACCCCAAAATACATTCTGCTACTTCTACCGAGTATATGGATACCACATGTGTGAGACTTTTGGGGAGCCTAGCCACATACAGGAGCCTGAAATCAAATGACCACTTTGAAAGCCTGAAGGTGCGTAACTTCCTCCTATCACAGTTTCGAAGGCCCTGACATGCCAGGATAGCAACAAACCCCCCAAATGACCCTTTTCTGGAAAGTAGACACCCCAAGGAATTTAAAAAGAGGCATGGTGAGTATTTTACAGATCTCATTTTTTTCCCCTCACAAGGTTTTGAAATATAAAAAAAGAATAGAAAAAATATGTTTTTGTTTTTTTTCCACATATACCCATGGCATGGGTGAGCAGTAAATAATTTAAGTGACAATTTTGTGTAAAAAAAAAAACAAACAACATTTTCATTTTCCAAAAACTTGTGGTAAAAAAAAATAAATTTTTCTATTGATTCAACATACCTCTCAGCAAATAGTTTGGGGTGTCTACTTTCCAAAAAGGGGTAGTTTTGGTGGGTGGGGGCGTTTTATGCCCAGCATTAGAAGTTTATGCCACACATCACTCACTCTTCTAACCACCTGAAGACCAAGCCTTTTCTGACACTTTTTGTTCACATGAAAAAAATCAGTATTTTTTGCTAGGAAATTAATTTAAACCCCCTAACATTATATATTTTTTTTAAAGCAGACACCCTAGTGAATAAAATGGTGGGTACTACAATTTTTTATGGGACATAGTACTCACGCAGCGATTTTTTAAACGCAAATTTAAAAAAAACAAAAAAAAAACACAAACACTTTTTTTTACTTTTAATGCACAAACACACAATATATTGGCCAATTATTTGGTAAAATATAAAAGATAATGGTATGCTGAGTAAATAGATACCAAACATGACATGCTTTAAAACTGCGCATGCCCCGTGCAATGGCGACAAACTGCAAGCATTTTTAATATTTATAGGCAACGCTTTAAAAGCAACCATTTTAGATTTACAGAGGAGGTCTAGTGTTAGAACTACTGCCCTTCATCTGACGTTCACGGCAATACCTCACATGCATGGTGCAACCGCTGTTTGCATACCGGCACAGGTTCAAGGCTTGCGCACACAGGTGTGCGCGCATGGGAGGGGCAATGTTTTTTTTTTTTTAGTTATTTTGATTTTCTTTTAATATTTTTACACTGTACCTTTCATTTTTTTTTTGATCACTTTTAATGCTATAAACAGGGAATGCAAATATCCCCTATAACTTCAATGGGCATTGTCATATTCTTTTTTGAGAAATCTGGGGTCTATCAGACTCTGGATATCTCCTCTTCCCTTACATTATCCAATCTAACCAAAATCGTTGTGATCAGATGCTTTCCCAATCCTGCAAAACTGAAGTGATGAAATGCTCGTAGCTTCCGAATTCTTAGACTAGAGAGATGATTGGCACCACTCTGGTCTCCAATCAGCTCTATGATCAGCTGGCAGAAACATCGGCTGCATGCTCAGGTTCCCCCGATGGCACGAGACTGCCCGAGAAGGCCGTGGAAGGCAGCGGGGGAGGGGGGGGCATCATCTCCCGCTGCTTGTAAAAGCAATCCTGCAGCTAATTAGCCACAAGGATTGCTTTTACATGAAAGCTGATCGCCGGCTGAAAAAAACGATACCAGGATGATGCCTGCACCTGTAGGCATCATCCTGGTATAACCATTCAATGTCCAGTGATGTATCAGTACAACGCTGATCCTTGTTGGGTGTATATGCTATGTTCTTTTTTTTTTTTTTGTATGCAGCCTGTGGACTGAATGAAAAAATGAGAAGAAATCTCTGCCAGAAAAAGTGTGTGGTATGCCCACCATTAGAATATACCGCCCTGCATCCACCCACTTCTATAGGTGGCCACACATTAGGTCACACTTTGCCACAAGCCCCAGATCCAAGATTGAACAAATGTCTAAATAGTGGCACGCTTGAATAAAAATTGTCCACGTATGTCCATATGGAAAAAGGATGACACCAAGTCCCAAACTATCTTGCCACTGCTCCCCATGTAGTCTGGGCATCCAGGGGGCTCCCTCGTAAATCCGAAACTTCTAAGTATAGCCTGTTGCCCTCTCACAGGTCTTCTACATCTTGACCCCATATCTGTCACGCTTGCAGGGGAGAAATTGTTTGAATGCAAGGCGGCCAGAAAAATTAATCAGGGACTCATCAACGCAGATGTTTTGCTGGGCAGTATAGACGTCTGCAAATTTTTGGTTAAGGCGATTTGCGAGGAGCTGAATTTTGTGGAGCCGGTCAAATTCAGGGTTACCCCGAGGATGACAGTGTATTGTTGTTGATATGCATAAAACACATTATACTCTCATATCTATCTATGCCTTGCCATGGCAGCAGAGAACACGGGTGATATGATGAATCGGGTCTGCGGACCAATACAACTGCAATTCATTTTTTAGTAATGCCCATGTTGAGGGTTAGGCCCAAAAAAAAATTTAAATTCGAAAACCGTAATGAGTTTCCATGCGAATGGTCTGGCAAGGTTTGAATTTGGGTTGGCGGCGATAAATTGTTGTGCATATAAATTGATTTGATCCACAATCAACGCATACAGATATTCTCTGAAAAACAGCTCCAAAAATCAAGGAGGTATGTGAAAGACCAGGATGTACTAGACCGCTGGTACTCGCCAGTTCACCAAAAGGTAGAGCGACACTAGTACTGGCATTCTGCTGCATATGAGAGTCATCAAAATTTACTGGGAAGTGCTAACAGAGATCAGGCCTGATTCTGCGAACACTGCGGTTTTGTGTGCAATGTATCAAGTGACAGTGACCTACTGACACTGCACTTGCTGGGGGAGAAGGGGGGGGTAAGCGTAGGGGCTAAACGCATGTGCTGGCAGGTGCTGGGGATGATCCCGCTAACTCTGCGTTTTTGGGGATGCTATACTAATGTGAACGCTGGTATAGTGCTGATCTGATCAAAGATTTTGATCCGTTCAGACACTATCCTAGCAATAGAGGTCTATTGTGCATGAGTGTGCTCCTGGCAATCAAGGGGTTAATTGTGATGACTGGTGTACTGACGGGCAATCTGACGCTATCTGGTAGGGGCGTGAAATCCATGGGAGCGCGAATCACACATACATACACACACACACATATATATATATATATATATATATATACACACACATATATTACATATATATATATATATACATATATATACATACACACACATATATTACATATATATATATATATATATATATATATATATATATATATATATATATATATATATATAAATAATGTGATTTTGCGCACCGTGCCGCCCTGTAGCAGTATTTCTACTATAGGATGGTCAGGAAGTGGTTACAGAAGTGGTTTGTGTTGCATCGCTGCATTACTTTGACAATTGCGCGGTCATGCAACACTGCACCCAAATTAAATTTACATCCTTTTTTTCCCACAAATTGAGCTTTCTTTCGGTGGTATTTGATCGCCTGTATGGTTTTTAAATTTTTGCGTTATAAAAAAAAAAAAAGGCTGGCAATTTTGATAAAAATAAAAAAAAAACAAAACAATATTTTGGACTTTTTGCTATAAAACATGTCCAGTTAAAAAATGTAAAAATCTAATTTAGTCATAAATTTCTGCCAAAATGTATTCTGCGACATGTCTTTGCTAAAAAAAAAAAATCCCAATACGTGTAAATGAATTGGTTTACGTGAAAGTTATAGCGTCTAGAAATGGCGGGAAAGATACTGGGATTTTTTTTTTTTAATTATACTCATAATGGCGGCGATCAGCGACTTATGGCGGGACTGCGGCGGACATTTTGACACTGGGGGGGAACTGACTTGGGGTCACTGACATCCCCAGTGACACCAATGCAGTGTTCAGTGCAAAAAAAAAACAAACCCACTGACACTGTACTAATGGCACTGGGGAGGAAGGGGTTAACTTTTTTTAGGTAATGAAAGGGTTAACTGTGTGAGGGGAGTGTTTTACTAGGGGGCGGGGGTGTGTACTTCACAGGAACACGCTGATCCCCAGAGATAAACTCTTCTCTCAGGATCAGCGTGCTCAGATAGCAGATAGCAGAGCTGCAGTGTAAACACTGCAGCCGTGCTCCTTGTCAGTGATGGTCGGTAATCGCCAGGAACCGGTGATTGACAGCCGCTTCCGCGATTGGCGGGGCGGTGCCGCCCTGTCTCAATAAAAACACTGTCGCTGGTCGGCAACCAGTTAAAACCCTTTTTTTCTGAAAGCTATCCTAAGTCATGGCCCTCAGCCAGAACAAGCTTTACCTTGGCCTCAAAAACCAGCTACTGCCTACAACTGAGGATACCAGCTGGCGTATTCTGGGCTCTAGCTTGGAGTACAGCTTTCAAACATTGATTCAGCCACAAAAAAGCAGCAAACCTTGTTGCAGAGACATAACAGACACAAAATTGACTTGAATCCACTGTGCGCAGGATGCATGCACTGTACACCTTATTATCACACAGTCAAACCATAGCTGGAGAAATGAAGTTGTTTTCCCACCTTCAGAATCAAAGGCCTCTTCAAATAATCCCAGACCAACCACAGATTTTAAACTTGCAAACTGGTCACTGGTGCCAACACAGTCTGACTTCGATGAGGTTTCACTCAATGCTGCCTGTAAAACAAGTGCAGTTAACAACAAAAAATAAAAAAAAATATATATATAATATATAATATATATATATATATATATACACATATATACACATACATACACATATATACATACATATACACACACACACACACACACACAAGTTATTTCATGACAGTTGGAAAATGACAGTTGGAAAATGACAGTTGGAAAATGACAGTTGGAAAATGACATTATTTTTGACAGTTGGAAAATGACAGTTATTTTTGACAGTTGGAAAATGACAGTTATTTTTGACAGTTGGAAAATGACAGTTGGAAAATGACAGTTGGAAAATGACAGTTATTTTTGACAGTTGGAAAATGACAGTTGGAAAATGACAGTTGGAAAATGACAGTTGGAAAATGACAGTTGGAAAATGACAGTTGGAAAATGACAGTTGGAAAATGACAGTTGGAAAATGACAGTTGGAAAATGACAGTTATTTTTGACAGTTGGAAAATGACAGTTGGAAAATGACAGTTGGAAAATGACAGTTGGAAAATGACAGTTGGAAAATGACAGTTGGAAAATGACAGTTGGAAAATGACAGTTGGAAAATGACAGTTGGAAAATGACAGTTATTTTTTGGAAAATGACAGTTGGAAAATGACAGTTGGAAAATGACAGTTGGAAATTGACAGTTGGAAAATGACAGTTGGAAAATGACAGTTGGAAAATGACAGTTGGAAAATGACAGTTGGAAAATGACAGTTGGAAAATGACAGTATTTTTGACAGTTGGAAAATGACAGTTGGAATTTTTGACAGTTGGAAAATGACAGTTGGAAAATGACAGTTGGAAAATGACAGTTGGAAATTTTTGACAGTTGGAAAATGACAGTTGGAAAATGACAGTTATTTTTTGACAGTTGGAAAATGACAGTTGGAAAATGACAGTTTATTTTTGACAGTTGGAAAAACAGTTATTTTTGACAGTTGGAAAATGACAGTTATTTTTGACAGTTGGAAAATGACAGTTATTTTTGACAGTTGGAAAATGACAGTTGGAAAATGACAGTTGGAAAATGACAGTTGGAAAATGACAGTTGGAAAATGACAATTTTTGACAGTTGGAAAATGACAGTTGGATTTTTGACAGTTGGAAAATGACAGTTGGAAAATGACAGTTGGGAAAATGACAGTTGACAGTTATTTTTGACAGTTGGAAAATGACAGTTATTTTTGACAGTTGGAAAATGACAGTTATTTTTGACAGTTGGAAAATGACAGTTGGAAAATGACAGTTGGAAAATGACAGTTGGAAAATGACAGTTGGAAAATGACAGTTGGAAAATGACAGTTGGAAAATGACAGTTGGAAAATGACAGTTGGAAAATGACAGTTGGAAAATGACAGTTGGAAAATGACAGTTGGAAAATGACAGTTGGAAAATGACAGTTGGAAAATGACAGTTGGAAAATGACAGTTATTTTTGACAGTTGGAAAATGACAGTTATTTTTGACAGTTGGAAAATGACAGTTGACAAAATGACAGTTGGACAGTTGGAAAATGACAGTTGGAAAATGACAGTTATTTTTGACAGTTGGAAAATGACAGTTGGAAAATGACAGTTGGAAAATGACAGTTGGAAAATGACAGTTGGAAAATGACAGTTGGAAAATGACAGTTGGAAAATGACAGTTGGAAAATGACAGTTGGAAAATGACAGTTGGATTTTTGACAGTTGGAAAATGACAGTTGGAAAATGACAGTTATTTTTGACAGTTGGAAAATGACAGTTATTTTTGACAGTTGGAAAATGACAGTTGGAAAATGACAGTTGGAAAATGACAGTGGAAAATGACAGTTGGAAAATGACAGTTTGGAAAATGACAGTTGGAAAATGACAGTTGGAAAATGACAGTTGGAAAATGACAGTTGGAAAATGACAGTTGAAAATGACAGTTGACAGTTGACAGGAAAATGACAGTTGGAAAATGACAGTTGGAAAATGACAGTTTTTTGACAGTTGGAAAATGACAGTTGGAAAATGACAGTTGGAAAATGACAGTTGGAAAATGACAGTTGGAAAATGACAGTTGGAAAATGACAGTTGGAAAATGACAGTTGGAAAATGACAGTTGGAAAATGACAGTTGGATTTTTGACAGTTGGAAAATGACAGTTGAAAATGACAGTTTTTTGACAGTTGGAAAATGACAGTTGGAATTTTTGACAGTTGGAAAATGACAGTTGGAAAATGACAGTTGGAAAATGACAGTTGGAAAATGACAGTTGGAAAATGACAGTTGGAAAATGACAGTTGGAAAATGAAATTTTTGACAGTTGGAAAATGACAGTTGGAAAATGACAGTTGGAAAATGACAGTTGGAAAATGACAGTTGGAAAATGACAGTTGGAAAATGACAGTTATTTTTGACAGTTGGAAAATGACAGTTGGAAAATGACAGTTGGAAAATGACATTTTTGACAGTTGGAAAATGACAGTTGGAAAATGACAGTTGGAAAATGACAGTTGGAAAATGACAGTTGGAAAATGACAGTTGGAAAATGACAGTTGGAAAATGACAGTTGGAAAATGACAGTTGGAAAATGACAGTTGGAAAATGACAGTTGGAAAATGACAGATTTTTGACAGTTGGAAAATGACAGTTATTTTTGACAGTTGGAAAATGACAGTTGGAAAATGACAGTTGGAAAATGACAGTTGGAAAATGACAGTTGGAAAATGACAGTTATTTTTGACAGTTGGAAAATGACAGTTGGAAATTTTTGACAGTTGGAAAATGACAGTTTATTTTTGACAGTTGGAAAATGACAGTTGGAAAATGACAGTTGGATTTTTGACAGTTGGAAAATGACAGTTGGAAAATGACAGTTGGAAAATGACAGTTAAAATGACAGTTGGAAAATGACAGTTATTTTTGACAGTTGGAAAATGACAGTTGACAGTTGGAAAATGACAGTTGGAAAATGACAGTTGGAAAATGACAGGAAAATGACAGTTGGAAAATGACAGTTGGAAAATGACAGTTGGAAAATGACAGTTGGAAAATGACAGTTGGAAAATGACAGTTGGAAAATGACAGTTGGAAAATGACAGTTGGAAAATGACAGTTGGAAAATGACAGTTGGAAAATGACAGTTATTTTTGACAGTTGGAAAATGACAGTTATTTTTGACAGTTGGAAAATGACAGTTGGAAATGACAAAATGACAGTTATTTTTGACAGTTGGAAAATGACAGTTGGAAAATGACAGTTGGAAAATGACAGTTGGAAAATGACAGTTGGAAAATGACAGTTGGAAAATGAAATTTTTGACAGTTGGAAAATGACAGTTTTTGACAGTTGGAAAATGACAGTTTTTTGACAGTTGGAAAATGACAGTTGGAAAATGACAGTTATTTTTGACAGTTGGAAAATGACAGTTATTTGACAGTTGGAAAATGACAGTTGGAAAATGACAGTTGGAATTTTTGACAGTTGGAAAATGACAGTTGGAAAATGACAGTTGGAAAATGACAGTTGGATTTTTGACAGTTGGAAAATGACAGTTGGAAAATGACAGTTAAAATGACAGTTGGAATTTTTGACAGTTGGAAAATGACAGTTGGAAAATGACAGTTGGAAAATGACAGTTGGAAAATGACAGTTGGAAAATGACAGTTGGAAAATGACAGTTGACAGTTGGAAAATGACAGTTGGAAAATGACAGTTGGAAAATGACAGTTGGAAAATGACAGTTGGAAAATGACAGTTATTTTTGACAGTTGGAAAATGACAGTTGGAAAATGACAGTTGGAAAATGACAGTTGGAAAATGACAGTTGGAAAATGACAGTTGGAAAATGACAGTTGGAAAATGACAGTTGGAAAATGACAGTTGGAAAATGACAGTTGGAAAATGACAGTTGGAAAATGACAGTTGGAAAATGACAGTTGGAAATTTTTGACAGTTGGAAAATGACAGTTGGAAAATGACAGTTGGGAAAATGACAGTTATTTTTGACAGTTGGAAAATGACAGTTATTTTTGACAGTTGGAAAATGACAGTTGGAAAATGACAGTTATTTTTGACAGTTGGAAAATGACAGTTGGAAAATGACAGTTGGATTTTTGACAGTTGGAAAATGACAGTTATTTTTGACAGTTGGAAAATGACAGTTGGAAAATGACAGTTGGATGACAGTTGGAAAATGACAGTTGGAAAATGACAGTTATTTTTGACAGTTGGAAAATGACAGTTGGAAAATGACAGTTGGAAAATGACAGTTGGAAAATGACAGTTGGAAAATGACAGTTGGAAAATGACAGTTGGAAAATGACAGTTGGAAAATGACAGTTGGAAAATGACAGTTGGAAAATGACAGTTGGAAAATGACAGTTGGAAAATGACAGTTGGAAAATGACAGTTGGAAAATGACAGTTAAAATGACAGTTGGAAAATGACAGTTGGAAAATGACAGTTGGAAAATGACAGTTGGAAAATGACAGTTGGAAAATGACAGTTGGAAAATGACAGTTGGAAAATGACAAATGACAGTTGACAAAATGACAGTTGGAAAATGACAGTTGGAAAATGACAGTTGGAAAATGACAGTTGGAAAAAAATGACAGTTATTTTTGACAGTTGGAAAATGACAGTTGGAAAATGACAGTTTTTGACAGTTGGAAAATGACAGTTGGAAAATGACAGTTGGAAAATGACAGTTGGAAAATGACAGTTGACAGTTGGAAAATGACAGTTGGAAAATGACAGTTGGAAAATGACAGTTGGAAAATGACAGTTGGAAAATGAAATTTTTGACAGTTGGAAAATGACAGTTGGAAAATGACAGTTGGAAAATGACAGTTGGAAAATGACAGTTGGAAAATGACAGTTGGAAAATGACAGTTGGAAAATGACAGTTATTTGGAAAATGACAGTTGGAAAATGACAGTTATTTTTGACAGTTGGAAAATGACAGTTGGAAAATGACAGTTGGAAAATGACAGTTGGAAAATGACAGTTTTTGACA